CCACCATCTTTACCCCTATCTCTGTTAGATAATATCTGATAGATACAATAAATATATATATATATATATATATATATATATATATATGGAGAGAGAGAGAGAGAGAGATTTGTCAGGAAGGACTGACTCATGTGCATGTGGAGGCTAAGAAGCCCCAGGATCTTCATTCTGCAAGCTGAAGACTAGGAAGCATAGCTGCAATGTGAGGCCTGAGACCTGATGCCTGGGGCAGGTGAAAACAGATGGCCTGACATAAGGAGAAAGATTGAAATTGTCTGTTCCTACCTTTTTGTTCTACTCAGACCCTCAATGGACTCAACAATGTCTGCCTATGTTTTCGAGTGCAGAACTTCTCCACATGGTCTGGATTCAATGCTTTTCTGTCATAGAACACTCTCATGGACACACCTGGAAATAATGCTTTACAGTTAACTGGGAGTCATTCAGTGTAGTCACATTGATGTGGAATATTAACCATAGAAATTGCTATTTCAGGACCTCCTTTCATCACATATGTGTGCCTGGGCTGTCCCCCACAAACTTTTCATGCAATAGAAGGAAAGGAAAGAAAAAAGAAATAGTAGCATAGCACACTTAGTAAAAATGGAAAGATCACAATTGTCTTGTGTGCACTCCCACGACAAACTCATTGAGGAGTGCCACACACCTGTTTCCTCAAGAATGACAGAAGTGGCTCTGGAGGCACCATGACCACAGACTGTCACTCGGACTACAGGCTTTTCTAAAACAGCTCAGTCTCCTATAAAAATGCATTGGTGTTTGAATGTGTCAGGCAAAGACAGAGGGGGATATTTGAAATTAAAAGTGACCTGCATTTTGAGGATGACCTGGAAATAAAATCACCACACATAATATGCTGTTGGGCAAAAACAGTCTCCAGAAGCTGCCTTGGGATGGCAGCTCATTTGTAATTTAACAGCCACGTACAGCTGGTCTTCACCCAGCCGATCCCACTGAGCACTTGAACTGGCACTGGGCAGGGTGGGAACAGAACACACAAGGTCCTATACTTCTGTTGGCAAACAAGAGACATGTCATCAGTGTCATCAGAATACTTAATGTAGCCCAAAATAACTTGGTAGATTTATCTTGTCAGCTTTGTATCTTGGGCCATGGAAAAGAAAGTCTCACTCAACAAAAGAAATTCTGCTAAAACTGTGTTCCGTGAAAACACTTCTAAAATATATAGCTATGAAATTGTCTTGCATGTAATAGTTTACAAGTCCGATCTATCTGTGAAGAATTCCATTATTCACACAGAAAAATACACAATGGTGACTTCTTTATTTTATCATACTTTAAATTCATCCCCCATTATGTTGTTTTTTTTTTCTTTTAAAGAAAAGCTCCACATATTTTTTTCAGTTTTATGGAAACTCTTCCCCTAACAGAAACATTTTATAGGATGAATTATATGTACATATATATAGTATTTTTCATCTCAAGTTGAATATTATGACATATTTAATCCATGTGAGGCACTGCAAAAATTAGCTAATTTCACTTTGTAAGGAATTACTCTTGAAATGTAGAAAAAAACACTTTGATGACATAATTTCCTTCTCACATGCAGTTTTGTGGCTCATTTCTCTAACATTCCCACCAATCTGACTGTGAAAACAGGTCTCCCAGAGTTTTGTCTCATTTTCTCTTCTTCTCTAGTTTCCCAATCTCCCCAGAATAAAGGACTGTGCTGGGTGACCAGGCGCAGGGACCCTGCCAGTACGGCCCAGATCAAGGTGGCCTCGGCCTGCAGGTGTAGTTACAGGGTGTATCATGTGTGAAAAAGATCACTTAATGTACACTTAAGATTAGGACACTTTATTATATGTCTTATATGCCTCAAAAAAACCTACTTAAACTGTGTGCTGGTTTTTGTTTGGAAAAATTCTCCCCTTCAAACAAGTGGGCTGTGCATCATCCTTTGGAAGCACCTAGACATTGTGTAGCCTTTGCATGTGGTGCCCCTTACAGATCCTTTCCTTTCTTTTGAAATCTTCTTTTCATCCTGTTAAGTAGTTTCTTTCATCTAGCTCAGGATTAAGAAGATCTGAGGAATTTTGATTCAGGGTTTGGTGTACAGCATCTCAAAGATGATGTTGTTTTGCAAATTAATTGTTTCTCCAAGTAATGTTGAATGCAATAAACTGGATTCATACAAACGTGACTTCAGTATAGACTTCAGTACATGTATTTCCTTTCCAGAACACATAGGCTCTGTTCTAGATGATTTACAGTTTCCAGAATTGTCCCATAAACCCTGCAAATTCTGATCATCCTTTTTGGATAGATGAAAAACTGAGTTTCTGAGATGAAGTAAATTATCAATGGTCACAAATTGATGGGAGATCAGGGGTGGGTAATACCTACAAATAGGCAATAAATGAATTGTTTAGGAGATTAACATAATAACATATAATATGATGCACCATGCCTGTAACATAGCAAATGCCAAATACACAGAAGCATTAGGATCGGTAAGATAGTAGGAACGTTGGATAGAGTGGTTAAGAAAATTGGGTCTAAAATCATATCTGATTTTGATTCCAGAATGATAGCTCACTGTAAGTCACTTAGTTTTTCTGAGACTCAAATGTAAAATTGATGATAACATCCACCTATAGGTGTGCTATAGATAAAATAAGATCGTTGTTGTGAGGTGGTTAGCATGGATCCAGATGTGAATAATGTCAAATGTCACATTTATTATGATGAAAGAGAACAAATCTTCATTCATTCACTCAAAAGCAGCACATACTCAGTCTCCCTGGATTCCAGTCACCAGGATTGGCAGGTCTGTCTAGGATGTGATCACCCATCAGAAGAAGGAGGAAATAAAGATGACATGTTTGAATCCCATCCGACTGAGGCAGGAGTAAGAAAAGACCTTAGAACACTATTTTATATTTAATTTAGTAAAATTAAATACAAAAGGCAAGATTGAAGAATGTTTCTGAGTTTACCATGACCTTGACGAGATGGTTTTGTTGTTGTTGTTGTACTACTGGGGTTTGAACTCAGTGCCTCACCCTTGCTGCTAGGCAGGTGGTCTACCACTTGAGCCACATTCACAGATCTTTTTGATGTCGTTATTATTCTAATAGATCCTCATGTTTATGCATGAGTGGGCCTGGACCTCCATTTTCCTATTTAAGATTCCTGTGTAGCTGGGATGACAGGCATGAAATACCAATGCCTAGATTTTATTGGTTGAGATGGAGCCTCACTAACTTTTTTGCCCAGACTGCTCTGGAACTGTGATCTTCCAGATCTCTGCTCTTGAATACCTAGATTTACAGGCATGAGCCACTGTTCCCAGCTTAGCTTCTTACCTAGATGTCACATCTATTCCTAAATCTGTGGGAGAATAATTAACGAATTACATACTTGTGCATGTACTCTGACTCAACGTTTCTCAAGAGACGAGATGACTTAACTCTGTGAGAGCAGAAAGACCTTGGTTAAAATGATGAAGAGCACATCAGAGACCACCCTGAGAAGTTGTTACTCTGGTTCACTAGCCTGTGTGAGTCCATTGGTAAATGAACATAGTAATACAGACCAGATAGAATACTTGTGGTAGTTAAAAAGATTAGTGGGGTCTGGCAGAGTGAATCAAGGGGTAGCGTGCCTGCCTAGCATGTGTGAGGTCCTGAGTTCTAACCCAGTAACCACACACACACTCACTCACACACACTTATACTCTCTCACACTCACACACACTGATACACACTCGCACACACACTCACAAGATATATAGAATATACTAAGCAGGTAGCAAGTGCTGGCTCACAGTTAGCCGTTGTTAATATACTGGGAGAGGTTTTTTGGTTTTGTTTTGTTTTTTGTTTTTTCAAAGATCAAGAGTTTAGGGCCAGCCAGGGATATTCCAGGAGAAATGTTTCCAAAGAAGGATGAAGAGGATGAGGAGGAGAAAGAGGAGAAAGCTGCAGCAAATAAAGTAAAATCTCACTTGTTAAATTGGGATGGTAGATGCAAATATGTCTGCTATATTGTGTTCTTTTGAACACTGTTGATAGCTATTCCACTTTGTGTGGACACAGTCAAAGGCTAGTACATTACAGAAAGAAAGCAAGCCCTTTCCACACACTGAATTTCCTGGGACCTGATCTTGAACTTTCAAGCCTCCAAACATTGAGAAATAAAGGTCAGTGGTTTATAAACTACACTATGTAGGTATTTGGTTACAGCAGCACAAAGGGACACGCACATACAGAAATGCCTCCGTCTTTCCCTTCTATCAAAAGGATGCTTTCTCTGCATTTGGGAGTCTTGGTTGGTGGTTTACCACTTTGCATGCATCAGCCCACTGCCTTCTGGGTGCAAGACTTCTGATGACAAATCTGAGGAGGACCTTTTGGGAAAATCACAGCAAAGCCCTCTCTCTCCCAGGCTCATATATGTGGATAATATGCCCCATGGTGCCTTAGGGCAAAGTATTTTGTAATAGTATCACATGTGCACAAAGGGCTACCATCCTTTAGGGACACCAATCCAATCCCTCTAGGTTTAAAGGGAAAGGAATTGATTACCTTGAGTGTAGATAGGATGAGATGTAGGACATCAAATTTTTAACAAACCTTCAGATTGGAAATGAGAAGCCACTGAATCATGACACTGACTTTAATTTCTAAGTGAGTAAATGACAGTGTCTATTACCAAGCCATGGCAAAAACTGGTGGAGCCCTTTAAAATTAAACTGCCAAAGGTACTTGAGGCCCAACCGCTGTGCTGTGTACCCAGCCCTGATTGGTCGGTTCTTGCTCTGACCTCAGAAGGACCCATTGTGATGGATTAACAGCCATGTCTACAAGGAGGTGGCCTGGGCTGGATTTCTGCTCATATTGAGCAGGGAGCTTCTTTGGTGACCTGCTGGAGTGTGTTCACAGTGTTGGCGTTTGGTATTTGCTCATTGTTCTTTGTTGTTGTGGTTTTGTGTTGAAGTTAGCATTGTTCCAATGAGTGGTGACTGTCCTAAGGGGCTGACTGGCCTCTCAGTTAGCACCACTAAGGATGTCCTGACCTCTCACTATCAGGTCACAAGGAACATCGGTAGTGGCAGCTTTGGCCACGTACATTTGGCTTGTCATCGCCACACAGGGACAGATGTCGCTGTGAAAGTGCTGAAGAAAGGAAGATACAACTCTTCCATCAAAACTGAGGTGTCCATTTTGAAGACCCTGCAGCATCCCAACATTGCTCGCCTCATCGAGGTGAAGGAGACAGTCAAGGGCGTTTATCTCATCCTTGAATACGCAAGTCAGGGGAACCTGCTGCAATATGTTGTAAAGAGGCACCACCTGCAGGAGACCAAGGCCCGCGAATTTTTCAGACAAATAGCTTCGGGATTGGTTTACTGTCACCAGCAGGGAGTCGCACACCTGGATGTGAAGCCCGATAACCTTTTATTGGATTCCACCTACACAATCAAAATCTGTGATTTCGGGATGAGCACCAGGTTCATGGCAGGAGAGCAGCTGTTTGAGGCAGCTGGTGCTTTGTCAAACCGTGCGCCTGAGATGTTTCTCTCTGGTAAGTACCAAGGTCCCAAGGCCGATGCTTGGAGCCTGGGAGTGGTACTGTATTTCATGACTGTGGGAGATTTCCCCTTTCAGGGCAGAGACTTTAAGGAGATTCGCAAGAAAATCCTGCGTGCAAAGTACCGCCTTCCAAGGCCTGTTTCTGCCGACTTCAAAAACATCCTAGGTAAACTGTTGACTCGGGACTCCAGCCAGAGGCCCACGGTGGAGGAGATCCTGGAGGATGCCTGGCTGCACCAAGATTCCCCCAGTCCTCTGCAGGCCCTGCCTGCATGCCCGAACCCCAATATAGTGTCAGCCATGGTTGCCATAGGCTATGACCGTAGCAGCATTCTCCAGTCATTAAAAAATAGAGAAATCAATGACACCACTGCCATGTACTATTTGTTTGAACAGCAGGCACGCCAGGAGTCTGATGGCTCTATGGAACTTGATCCTATACAACCAGCTGTTGCCCCTTGCCCATCTCCTGTAGGTCTTTCCACCTGTCCCGGCCCACTGAGGAGGAGATCTAGTGCTCCTGCAAGCCTTAGCTCCTTCTCCTTCCTGAAATGGGACTTGAATCTGCCCCAGGATGACAACTCAGCAAAGAATGGCAGCACAACAGTCTTCCTGCCCACCAATCCCCTCTTCACCCTGAGGAGGATCCCAAGCACCATCAGAGTCCCCCTGAATGCTCGCATGGACCCCGAAGGAGGCACGTCATCTGAGCATAAGTGCTCTCCAAAAAATGCCCTTGCAGTTGGGCAACCAGAGGATGTCATCAGAGGTGCTGCACGCAGCAGGAGCCGGGGCTGGAGATGGGTGCCTGGCAGAATAGTCACCACCCTTCTCAGACTGAGCTGTTTTCTGCCCTGCTTGAAGAAATGCCACCAAGGAGTGCAAGAGGAAGACAGTGGAGAGCAAGGGGACCTTACCACAGCCTTGGGGGGGATTTGCCCCCAAGGTGTGGACTGAAACAGCAACAGGTAGAGGGGCTGGGCAGAAGTTCAGCTCGCCGGTGCCCAGCAAGCCCCAGAATTCATACACACCGGCGCCAGGTACGCCCAGCAAAGGCGTCCACCCCACTTGGGGAAAGCTGCAGAGACAGAAAAAGGTAGGTGCTAGGGGCCCAAAAGTGATACACTCACTGTGTGTGGGACCCAGCCTTGATGGTCCGTTTCGTGCTGTGACCTCAGAAGGAGACACTGTAAAGCAGTGTCTAAGGAGGTGGCCTGGGTTGGACTTTTTTTCACATGGTGCAGGGAGCTCTTGCTTGGTGACCTACTAGACACACATAGGCTATTGTGTTTGTGCTTTTGATGTTTGGCTTTTATTTTTGCTTATATTTCTTTGTGATTTTATTTTTGTTGTTGTTTGATTTCTTGTTTTTTCTGTTTTTTAGTTAGCTTGAATCCTCAACTCCATTTTCTGATTTCTGTGAAAATCACAGGAACTTCAATACCATAATAAAATGCATTTTGTGGTTTCACCACAAGGAACGTGGAAAAATCACAAAGTGGTTGTCTGACAAGGATTTATTTAGCAAAACAGAATAAAGTAGGGAGGAGAAATAGAAGTGGAAAGAGAGGTATGTCCGCCTGACATGCAGGATTTGGGAGCAGAGAGGTTCCAATGGTATTCTTAGTATGCTGCTTGCTTGGCCAAGGATTAGCTGAGTCACACAGAGATTCCTTTAAAAACATTTCTCTGCCCAGCAACATAAACAGATTTGCTTTTGTTTTAAGAGAAACACCTCAGAAGTATTTCCTGTACAATATTTCCTCAAAACTGTTGAGATGTTCTATGGTGTCCCTGGTATCCTGTGATGAAAATAAGCCTCGTGTCTCACTTAACACGGAAGCATGAGCCACCCAGTCCTGGGACAATGGTATTCCAGAGTCAGGCAGAGAGCCTGGACCTCACAAATCTACCCAGAGGAGGACTGTGGTAGCCATAGCAACATCCAGTAGTAAAGCTGCACATGATTCTGTGACAGGGAACATGAGATTACACAGCACTTTGAGGCTGGGAGATGCTCTCAGAGCTAAGGGAAATTGAACACTGAGAAGCAGACATATTGGGAAGGAGGAATGGGGAAAAGCTACATGATGGGCTCAGTGTTTGAGAAGCATAAGTTCCAGTGTCCTAGGGCATAGTGGGGTGAATATAGCTATCATTTATGCATTGTAGAACCAAATAGCTAGACGAGAGCACTCTGAATACTTATTGTAGAAACGATAAAAGTTGAAAATGGCCGATATGCATAATTACCCCGTGTCGATCATTACCCAATGTGTACATGAACCACAACATCACATTTCATTGTACCTAGTAAAAATGTACAGTTATGTGTCAGTCAAAAAATAAGAAAAAAGTAGATTTACAAAAGTAATACATAGGAGCGTGAGTGTAAAAGTAAGAAGAGAGTTTATAAGGAATGAATACAACACCAATGTTCTGACTTACATTTTTCATTCAATGCAATTGAGTGTGGAGTACTAGAAAACCCAGGTCATTTGTATTTTAGGCCTGTCACTTATTTGAAGGGCACTGGGCAAGTCCCTTAGTTCTTTCAGGTACGTAGTGTTTCCATATGTCAAAGGAGGGTGCTGGGTTAACCAGTTGCTCTTTAAGCTTCCCTCTGCCACTCATACCGTGCTATGGACTTCTGCCTCTTACTTAACTTAGTTTTCATAGATGTCATGGCTTCTACTTAGCTTTCTCCAGTGTATGTGGGGGTGCTGAACGTGGTGGGTCACTCTGTAATCCCAGCTACTCAGGGGTAGTCCAATGCTGTCCCAGGTAAAAGCTCAAGACCTTATCTGAAACAAGAAAAAAAAAAAAAAAGCCAAAAAGGACTGAGGTGTCACTCAAATGTTAGAGCACTTCCCAGCAAGCATGAGGCCCTGAGATCAATCCCAGTACTACCAAATGATGAAGAGGATTTTTTAGTGTGATGAATTGTTACTTAAATAAAAATGTCTTCTAATTTTCACTTTTTCTTTTTTGGCAGTACTGGGTTTGAATTTGGGGCTTTGCACTTGATAGGCCCTCTAGCACTTTAGCTACTTCACCAGTCCTTGAGTTGTTTTTAATAGAAATATTTTGCTCATCCATTTTCATTATTCTTCTATCCCCCATTGAAATTTAGTTTTGTAACTGGTTTTGTTGTCCTTTTTCTTGTTCTTAAACCAGAATGAAAGTAAGAATGATAATTTTTTTTTTTCCTGAGGCACTGGGGTTTGAACCCAAGACCTTACTTGCTAGGCCTCTACCATTTGAGCCACTCTGCCAGCCCTCTTATGTGATGGGAGTTTTCAAAATAGCATCTCCAGAACAATTTGCCAGGGGCTGGCTTGGAAATGGGATCTTTCTGATCGCTGTGTCCTGTGTAGCTAGGATTACAGGCGTGAGCCATGTCACAGGCAAGAATGATAATTTCTAAAATGTTCGTCATTAGTTAGCATATGCATTTGATTTCTTTCTCATCTAGGGCTATACTTTAGGGTGCTATTGGTGTTTCTGGCTGTAAATAATCTTCGCATGTCTGAGAAGTTCATTGTCAACAGCGTTTTGAAAAATATTTGGGAAAATATATCTTAGAAAAAAAAGCCTCCAGTTCTGTAAAGAGAGAATCGGTTTGTCAGTGGGAGGTTCAATTTCACCAGCCTTAAAAGCTCTGCTTTGAATGTCTTCCCAGGCAGACAGATCAGGGACAGCATGGCAACGCCGTATATAAATAACAGGTAACACAGTTCAAGAAAAGAAAAGGTTGGCCTTTATTTCCATAATGGGTAGAAAGTGAAAGGAAGAGGCTTGTGAATTAACTAAGAGTGATGTCAGAGGAGGGAGACAGTTTGCGTCTCCAAGACAACCTATTTGGGTTCCTATGCTACCTGCCATCTTGATGCGGCTGTGCCCGCTTCCCGCTTTTCAATGATCCAAGTGCGTTTCTGGGCCGCAGCTTCAGGAACCCGAGGTGGAGTGGGACTGGGGCACTGCAGCGCTTCCAGTAAAGTGGCTCCCAGAAAATGAAAGGAAAAGAAAGGCCTTGCGCCATCTTCCCAGCAAGCACAGCAGCGGGAAGTGCTTCCTCCTCTGAAGGCCTGGGGAGGGACAGGCGGGAAGACCGCGTCAGAAGTAAGGAAGCAGCTCTCTGTATTCTCTGTTCACTGTTTCACGCTGTGCACATGGTGAGGGCGTGACCTTTTTGCGTGTTGATTGTCTTTTGTTTTCCGCGACAGTTTTGGACTAAGCTGTTTGTTTTCTTTTAAGCACATTGACCCAGGGAGTCAGGAGACATGGGTTGTGTTCTCAGTACTGTCACAAGGAATTGTAGAACCTTGCACAAACCAGCTCATCACTTTAGACTTCAGTTTCTTCCTGTGTAAAGTGTGGAAAGAGGTAAGGAGCTCACAATGAGCTTTTGGTTCTGTACAAAGTTAAGTGATAAGTACTGGTAAAGGTACAGCATGAAGTGCTGTGGAAATTTGGAGATTATTTCTGGTGGGAGATGTTTGACATCACTGCATCTCTTGTGTTCATTTTGGAGGTTCTTATGTGTTTAAAAGGCATTCTTGGACTTAGGGAGGCTTGTTACATGTCAGTTCCATTTGATTCACAAATACATTAACTTGCTTGTTTTCTGTAATTTACAAAACTACTCCTTTCTCTTTTTTTCTTTTGAAGATGATTCTAACCCTTGGTGTCATTTTGTAATTCCATGGGATTTGCTACCATTTCCACCTTTTGGTTGATTAACAGGGATTATCAGGCAATTTTTTTTTTCTTTTTGGTTTGCTCCTTCTGAGGTTTGAACTTGGCTTCATGCCTGCAAAGCAGGCCCTCTCTCCTTGAGCCACCCCTGTAGTACATTTTGCCCTGGTTATTTTAGGGATGGGAGCTTGTGAACTGTTTGCCTAGACTCACCTTGAACCACCATTTTCCTGCTCTCAGCCTCCCTAGTAGCTAGGATTATGGGTGTGAGCCACCAGCACACAGCTATTAGATACATTTGAATAGGGTTTACCCTTTCAGGGATATTTCTGAAGATATCCTTCAAGATGGACTTTGTGTGTCACTTTTCAGCAGCCTGTGCACATCCACAGTGTTTGAGCATTGTGTGGGGCTTCCATGAAGCGAGGCTGCACCTGTGGCTTTCCTTTTCCTTTACACCGGCCAGTCCTGCTCAGGCGACCACAGAGCTTTCCTCCCTGTTCTGGACACTCGCTGTTTGTCTGTCTTTGCAGTGTGCTGTCCTTGTGACTGCATGTTTGTAATTAGTTCTGTGAAGGAGCTGCCCAAGTCCTTGAGCTCTGGTCTTCTTTATGATTGCATTATCTCTTCTTGGCTCTTCAAACTTCTTAAGTTTTAGAATCAGGTGGTCAGTTTCCATATAAAGAATAAGATTTTCATTGGGTTTTTATTGAATGTAGAAATTAATTTGAGGGAGAATTGTTTTTATGTCTTTTAATCTGTAAATGTAGCATACACCTCTCTTTATTTGCCTCTTCCATTTCTCTCAGTGATATTTTATACTTGTCTCTAATGTCTTTTTTTCATTGTATTATAACTGTTTTAAAATTTGATTGAAGTAGAATTTATACACAATAAAGGTCACTGATCTTGGGGTAAATTTTGATAAGGAACATTTCCATCCTCCCCCAAAATTCCCTGCTGACTTTTTCCAGTCATTTTCCTTATCCTGTTTTTCAAATCAACCACTTTATCACTTTGTCAGCATTACAACATTTTCCTGTTCATACTTTGTTTCTAAGATAAGGTTTTGGATATTTATCCACGTTTTTTGTGCTTCATCAGATACTTCCTTTTAGTTCTTGAATTGTGTTTTATTGCATAAATATACCATAATATTCCATCCTTCTACTGTATATATTGTTGCTGTTTCAGGTTTGGGCTGTTAATAAGACTGTTGTTAACAGTCTTGTATAATTTTTTTCATTTTTATTAGCATA